CATTAGTGCTTTCGTAAAGTAGTAAATGAACAATTGAAAGGCCCAGTTTCCAAAAAGGGAAAGAAATTGGAAATAGATGTACAATAAATAAAAGGGTGGTGGTAATCTTTCTGATTCTTTGCCCGCTCATTTAGTGGTGCACTCTTTTAGTCTTGATTTTCCTTGGAATGAGGGATTTTTAATCTTTAATTGTGGGACGTTAATAGTGCTAGAGTAGTGCGTGTGCGTGTGTGCGAGAGTGAGAGCTTGCTGTTTTTGTGGATCTAGCCTGAAGACCAGTTAAATTAGTGGAATAGCTCAGTTGATTTCAGCAGGTTTGGGATCAGGCTGTGGCTTTTGCATACCACGTATACTCACATATGATGCATCTTTTTCCTCCAAAAAACCCAATTTCTGGTAATTGGAGTTCACATTATAAATGAGAAAAAAGGTAAGAGTGGGTTTGGATGCTTACTGGTAAAACTTGCAAGAAAAATCTGCAGCAATCCTCAGGAAGCAAAAAAAAATTATAAAATAAAAAAATAAATAAAAATAGAGTGGGCTTGGCTTGCCTTCCTAGCTACTGCTGATACTCACTCACTCACTCATTCATTCCAATGAAATTTTTTTTTTCCCTTCTGTCCTTCACAAACAAGGTGTGCATCATATTCTGGGGTGTGTTTGTATATGAGGAAAATATGGCAGTTCAGTGACCCAATAGTGGAGTCATGAAAGTAATAAACTACAGTAAAGGAACTACACTGTTGCATATGCATCACCCTGCTAAGAAGCAGATCTTCCCTTCATGTAAATGGAATTATTGCAATTTACACCAGCTGAGTATCTGTACCTGAGAACTTTTAATCACATGAGTAGACCCACGAGCTTCAGTGGGACTGTTTTGTGTATAAAGCTCACTGATGTCAGTAAAAGTTGCACAGTGTATACCTTGCTAATTCATATGATGAGCAAAACAGGGATCAAAAGTTTGAAATACATTGTATAAAATGTATACAGCAAGAATGGCAGTGGCATGAAATAATTATTGGAATGCATTTATCAAAGTCTTCCTGGACACAGCTTTCCTTGTGCTGGACCCTGGATTCCCTTTTCAGGCAAAACTACCATTGAGAGTCACCTGTCTGTATAAGGGCTGAAAGTCTAACATAACATACTCTCTTTAAGATGACTATTTATATTAACCTGCAGTCAAGTAATATCCATTTTTGTAAGTTGTTAGACACCAGATAGGTTCAATTTGATAATGTTTTTCTGTTCAAAAGATTAACCCCTTAAAATGCTAAGGTCACAAAGTTGATTTGCCAACTGGAATCAGGAAACAGTGAAGTTTAACATGGAATGTGACATTTTTTCCCCCTTGTGAGCTTGCATTATAATTTGGTTTAATTAATTTGGCAATATAATAATTTGTTACTGTTCACATGTTTCTATTAAATTATGCAAATAAATTTTAGAGAAACATTTAGTATCGCTGGAACCTAAGATGTATGTTTGTGGCATGTGACAGTAACAGTGGATGTCACTCAAAGGAGATAGTCACCTACTATTTTTAAGATTCATTCAACATGACTTTTCCCAAACAATACTAGGTATACTCAGTACATAGTAATACATTTCTCTATCTGGCAGTTAGCAATGGCATATCATTCTACTTGTATTTCATTTTATTATACACTTTTAACTGAAAAGGGTATAAAATGGCTGCTTCTCATTCAAAATTCTAAAAACACATCTCTGAAATAAATGTTACAACTTAGTTTTTAAACTAAGCTGAAATGTTTAAATCTAAGTAATCAGAATTCTGTATGTTTTCTTTTCAGCTGTCTCATGTAAAACTGAGACAGCTACAAAACAGATAGTTAAATCTAAGCACTACATGTATACAGACTAATTGTTATACATACTTTCAAGATGATCTGCAAACAGATTTATACCCTTTGTTTTTCTTTGTGTAACAAATGCCACAATGGATTTACATTTTTAATTAAAATCCTGTCTAGCTTAGAGACTATAGTGACTGGAAAACTAGTAAAATCCTGACTTTAAAAACGTAACACAATGAGATGAGAGCTAATGAATTCCGAGAGCATCTTTATCCGTGTTACAGAGGTGTAGGTTGTAGCTGTGTTGGTCTAAGGACATAGGCAGACAAGGTTCTTTGGGCGACTCTGATATCTTTTATTAGACCAACTTAAATAGTTTGAAAACAACTTTTAAGCAAGCCTGCGGGTTCAAAAACCCTTCGTCAGGCTAAGAAAGTTTCAGCAGTTGGTGTGTGTGCTCTTTCTGGATGGAATGAGAAGTAAAGAAGCCAGAGGCTGGGCTGGTATGCATTCAAGACTGCCTATCTTGTATGCATACCAGCCCAGCCTCAGGCTTCTTTATTTTTCATTCCATCCAGGAAGAGCACATACCAACTGCTGAAACTTCCTTAGCCCGACGAAGGGTTTTTGAACCCACAGGCTTGCTTAAAAGTTGTTTTCCAACTATTTAAGTTGGTCTAATAAAAGATATTAGAGTTGCCCAAAGAACCTTGTCTATCTCTATCTATGTAGAACTTAAGGTCTCGTTCTGGAAAATCAAACTTTGGAAAAAAGTGGCTTGGAAACAGAAGTCCTAATGATATGAGGATGTTAGTAAATGGAGTCATTTTGTGACGCTACAAGAAACAAGGAGTTTGAGTTCCATGAGTTGTAGAATCAGTGGCTTTGATACACATGGTAATGTAGTAAAGTCTGTGCACACTGAAAGTTAGGTGATAGTCAAATAGGAATGAAAAGTTAGATGGAGTAGGATAGTGATCTGTTCATCTTTAAGTTTTAAGGCTACTTTGAGAGACAAATATTCTCTCATGATGGATCTCTCCTCTCCCAGTAGGTAAATCCTTTCCTGTTTGGTTTTTGGTGTTTTATTATACAGAACATTTGCTAGTCTCTATAGTCTATGAGGCTCTCTAAAGTGTTGCTTTTGTAGGAGAAGAAAGAAATGAGTCATGTAACAAAAAATGATAAAAGTAACATAAGTGCCCAGACCATAGTATGGTAACATACTCTCAGAAATAATATAGTACTGAACCCTCCTCTGTAGAAGGATGTAGAGATAGGCCATAAAGCCTGGCACAGTGCTTGGGAGTAATGTATGGATGATCAACTTGAATGTAAAATAAAGTACTAAACATGCAAGCAAAGTTATTTTAGTACAATCAGAAGTACTGGAATGTAAATGAGCTCAGTTTTAATCACCTTAATGGGAAAGGAGTTGATAGAGAATGGACCCCAAGAAACCAAAGGAGCTGAGGGCACTGGGGGCTAGGTACAAAGGGAAAAGCTGAATGGACCCCTAACCCAAGGAAGTGTAGGAGAAAGAAGAGGACCTAGCTAAGTAAATCCTGAAGGAATGATCAGTGAAAACCAGGAGAAGACAAAATTTGTTAAAGCTGTGCATGATGTCTCAAGAAGCATACAACAGGCACTGAAGAGTGAGAATAGAGTTGGGGCTGTGAGAGCCAGAGAAGATTGTTAGAAGTGTGATTCAGAGCAGTTTCAGTGGAGGGTGAAGACTGAATTGGACAGCATCCAGAGTGAATTTGGGAAACACAGATCAAGCTGCTGCTGTAAATGGTCTAATCAGTGAGGTTAGAGGTGTAAGAGACAGACTAGGAAGGGGTGTTGTTGCACTGAGAATAACCTCCTCCCAAAACAAGGTTGAGGGGGGGAGTTAGTGTTGGGCTGAGCAGCTAGAAGGTTCTATGGGGGAAGCAGGTAGAAGAATTAGAGCTGCTGCAAGAGACAATATGGTGCCTTTCCCAGGGGCAGAGATGAGGGTAGTGGAAAACCTCTAACTGCCCAGCTGTAGTCAAAGGCGGGGGCCTGGATTTCTAATTGTGGTATGAAATTCCCAGGCATGGGGCAGGACCTAGCCCCTCCGCTGAAGCACAGCCCTCAGGAGCTCATGTCCTTCTGCCTGTCTATCTTTCTTCTTTCCGCCTCGAGGTCACGGCTGCTGCAGCAGGCCCCGGGCCGGCTGAGGGAGGAGGGCTCGGAATCGGGGGCGGAAACGCCAAGGATGTGAGACTAGAAAGCCGCCGGAAAGCTTCCCTGCTCCGTCTTAGGAACCAAGAGCCCTTTATTCCTTGTCCTCGGGGGCCGCGGCGGTGCCGGGCCGCTGATGGGGAGCGGCGGGCGCTGGGGAGGCCCCTCGGAGCCCCCCGCGCCGGAGGACGCCAAGCGCCTGCGGGCACCTCTGCCCACGACCAGGGGCAGCTCTGAGGGCACGGAGCGGCGAGGAGGCCGCGGCTGGTCGG